CGGCTGCGTGTTTATAAATTTGTAAGACCTCTTGATATTTGTAAGTCCAATTCTTCAGAATGTATTCCTGGAATAAGTTTATACGACATGAATCAACACTGCTTCAAACTCCTCAATGGACCTCAGGACCATACCCAGTCATGTGCAAAAAATGTATGTGTACAACATCTATCCAAATTCCATTTTTGTACGTAAGCAAATCTCTTACTTCATAACAAAAATATAACTTGCTGAATTCGTTTCAATCGGGATTTCGTTCTGGCCATAGTACCGTCACTGCACTGATCAAGGTCACAGATGATATAAGAAAAAGTATGGGTGAGTTAAGTTGAGTAATCAATAGTGGTGGCACTTGCTGACTTTTCTAATGCTTTTAGCACAGTTGATCACTATATCCATCTCTCTATTTCCTCATATATTAGACTTTCGCCTACAGCCAGAAATGTTTTGCATTATATCTTCGTAGACGCCAACAATCAGTCTTCTTTTCTAGAATTTTTCTGCCTGGATTTACACTAGTATGTTTTTACTGTATACCGCCTGTATACTCTCTCCTTTAATGTTTACACAATTTATGAATTCCATCACTACAGTTGGCAATTGCTCAAACCATCTATATGTGAATGATCTTCAGCTCAATTTGCAATGAGGCTTCTGTGACCTTAACATTGCTATGAAAACTCAATTAAAACTTGGAAGTTAACAAACATAGTTGTGCAGATTTAGGGTTTTTGTGAAATCCGTTTACCGTAACAGCCTAGTATAGTCCACTGCTGAACGTAGTCCACACCATAGATTGCCTTTTAGGTTAGATTTGTACCTCTAGGTTGGCAACATCAGTTTTTCCGTCGTTATTAGGAAGACGCTGCTGCTCATCTCGTGATTCGTTTCCATCTGTCGCCTCTTACGACACCCACAGGATGGTATGGGGTAGTGGATAGTCTTACCACGGTCGTTAAAGCAAATGTAAATAATTGATTGTAGGTGTAGTACAAGTATGATGATATTCTATATAAAAAAAGTCCCGCTAGGTTTCTTTCTGGTTCTTCCCAGCACAAAGTGGTAACTAAACAAAAGTATGACTTTCAATAAGTGTTATTTATAATTTATATTGTAAAAAAGTCTCTGTTTCTGTACTCTTTCTGTTTTTATTGATCTAACTATCATTGATAACGCAGATATATTCTATCCAGATCTATCCTCACATCTAAGTTGGAGCACCTTTTAAGTAATTACATAAGGTTCATTTTTGTTTACTTAAGTATATATTTCCCCGTATCGTATTAAGCTTAAATAGCTTACTATTCGGCAAAGGTGTGGCTCTGGAATTTCACTTCGGTTTTATTCTTTTTTGACTCGAAAAGTCTATTCTATCTTAAAGATAACTTCCATTTTCTTTATTCTACTATTTTACTTCTAATATTTCCCAGCATGGTACTGACTTCTTCAGGTCGTCTTTTACCATTTAGGCTGAACAACTTTGAAACGCTTTCTCTTAAGATATCAAAAATGCTCCGAATAAATAACTTTTTAAAAGGCTGCTTCCAAACTATTATCTGATAGCAAACCTTATAATATAAAATATTCACCTTTTAATTTATTAAAATTAGTTGTATATTTATTTATTTATCTATATGCTAATATATGTATGTAAGGATATATATGAATGAATGTATGTACGTACTTATATATTTATATATTATTATGTATCTATTTATTATTTTTTATTTTATCTTCTGCCATAATTTTCTTACTTATAAAAAATATATAATATTTAAAATATTTAAAAATATATTAATTTTTTCAAGCAGCCGGACCTGAAAAAAATATCTGTAGGCCAAAGAAATACTTCTGTGAGGATATCAAAGCGAAGGGCCACATGCCGCAGCGCCGTCACCAAAAGATTAATAATAAATTACCAAGCCGTCTTTATATACAGTGGCGTAATATGGTTTGTTGCCACCTGCAGCCCGGTGCCACTAGAGCCAAGAATATCGCTCCCTACCTTCTTGAAGCAACATTTTTCTAGTATTTCTAGGTAAATATAAAGTAATATCCAAAAAACTAACAATTCAATGTATTTTTATACTTATCCGTAGCCTTGTTTCAGTTACAGCCTTTTTGAGATTTTTACTGGCATTTATTGGCTTGGAGGTGACTTTCATTGCCAAGATTCGGGTAGCATTTCCCCTAAATTTTCTGTCTGGGCCCATGGCAACCCGCTTAGAAATATTTTTTCTGCCATTAAAATAAATTTCAGTAAGTCCAACTTACCAAAAATTCTAAGTTTTTAGTCTCTATAATCTATTAATGCATTTTTATACAGTTTTAGTTACCTTTATGCAGTTTTGATTTTAACATTTTTAACAAGTAAAAAAGATTTTATACATTTCATTATTCAACTAGCTGTTCCCGGCAACTTCGCACGCATGTTATGTAGTGTTTTAATTATTTTACGCGGAATCCTAATTATTTTTCTTAAATAAAAAAGGCTTAAGTTACTTCTCACATCATCTATCTGCCAGTGAAAGTCCCGTCAAAATCGGTCCAACCGTTTCGGAGATTAGCCGGAACAAACAGACAAACAAAAATTTAAAAATATTTAGTTTTCTATAGGTACTGTATATTTTTTCATATGCATTTAGTAAAAAGCTGTAATTTTGACATTACAAAGAGACACTTTAATTTTATTTATTCGTATAGATACACTATCTCGATTTCTTCTTGAATATAAAACATACAATATAAAGAACAACTGTAAAAGTTACGGAGCCTTTTCCAGATAACGTCGATAGAAGTATTTTGTTTATGCTGATATGGTGAAGATAAATTGGCATCCCGCTACTTTTCAGTAAGATACAGGCCGTATTGGGTTCTTTTTTTAAGGTGCTTTATATTATTTTTTTACTCTAAGGTAACAGATAGGAGATAACCCTTTTTACTGGTAACAAGACGTCTTATCTTAGTCCTTAGGGGTGACAACGCTACATTATTTTCTTACTTAATCAAATATTTGGTATGCAGTTTTATCGGGCTACATTTACGTTCCATTAGGTATTTTCGTGTCTAATAATATAGAAGTAACTAACTAAACTTTCTCATCTTTAAGTTAATGAATTTTCGCAAAATCCTACTTATTGACATGCTGCAGTGAAAATAATATTTCAAAATATTATTTTCGCATAGAAGCACCTTGACATTATTTTCTACCGACTCCAAAAAGGAGGAGGTACTCAATTCGACTGTATGGTTTCTTTTTTTATATGTGTTACCTCATAACTTTGTGCAACGTGAACGGATTTGGATAATTATTTTTTTATTTGAAAGCTGGTTCTTTCCATATAACTTTGATCAAGTTCTGACCAATAGTTTTTAAGTTCTCCTTAATAATTTATATTGAAGTCAGTTTTACAAAATAATAAATTTTAAATTATTGTTTTATCATATTGGTACTTGTGATATTATGTTTAAATATACTAGTTTAAGTATATTATATTTAAACATAATACTACGTAATAAGTTTAAATTAATTAATTTATATAAATTTATGCTGTAATGAATGAATAAATGAATGAATGAAATTTATATGTAGTTATTTAATGACTACTATACCTGTATCTCATAATTTGAATCAAGCGATGGGCAGCAGCGTCTTCCCAATAATGACTAAAAATTAAAAAACTGCGGGTGCCAACCCGCTTGCCTCGTGTGGTAATTATGGCAAATATCCCCCCTCTGTAAGGCAATCTATGGGGGAGGCCTAGGTTCTGCAGTAGACTTTAATAGGTTGTAACGGTTAAGGTATTTCCTATGTCCTATGTCTTAACTTACTGTTGTGAAAATAAAGTACAATATTTTTTATGGAAATAATGGTGGCAAATTAGCACACAGTCCACCTGATGTAATGTAAATGCTGTGGCCCCATAAACACCTAAAGAACAATGGCAGACTTTCATACATAAAATTAGTTGAGAAGGAATGGTAGCGTCTATACATCAAAAATATCTTAAAATGTTAAGCGTCAGTCCTTAACAACTCTGTCAAAGAATTTTGTCCTGAGAAAGCGTCAAAAAAAGATATTTAGATTTGAACCTTTTAAGGTTATGTCTTATGTCACTTGGAAAAAGTCATGCGTCATGTTGTTGTTTGATGTTGGCTTAATACATTCTCAACATAATGTAACTACCTACATAATTGAGAGTTTTTAGATTATTGTAATTCTATAATATATTTGCATACTATAAATGTATATTTCTAGCATGGCTCCAGTGCCTTTGTGTCGTACAGTGACACTCTCAGAAGGGCTAGAACCCAGAGCTGTAAAGCCAGTAAAAAAAGGGTTATTTTTTTTTAGCTAGTGTTGCCATAACATTAAATGGAATTGTTACATATTACTATGATTGACATAATATATTATTGTAGGAAGTTCTTTATAAGAGGCTTGTTTTCAACTATATCATTAATATTTTTATTATTACTGACAGTATAGTTATTATTAATAATAACTTAATATAAAATATGTTGTGTTTGTGTGTTGTGTTGGTAGTCTTACAAAGTGTCTACGAAAAAGTATGAATATAGTAAATAGCAACACTTGAATAGAGTAAAATGATTTAAGTCATTTGATATTCCCAAAAATGTTTGTTTTTTTCTGTGGCTTTAATTAAAATACATTTTTATTTGAAAAATCTTAGAAAAATAATAAAACTCATTTTATATATAACTTATTTCTAGACGCAATAATTTTTGTTAACTATTTTGCTGCCCATGCCCTTTATCCTAGTTAGAAGTTAAAAAATTTAAAAATCAGTTTAAATATACCTAGTCAGGTCATAAATTCTGTCACATGTTTAATATAAAATAATTGAAATAAGTTTATTCATTATGTAACCATTTATATAGGTACCAAAATGAACTTAATAAAACATAGATTCCTATGAAACTAAAGTTTATTCAAAATTACCTCCGTGATTTTGAATACAGGCCTTCAGTCTGCGCGGCTAGTCGTCTATCGCAGCACGAACGAGGTCCATGTCAATATCGGCGGCTGCCTTAATCAAGGATGTCTTGAGTGACTCCAAATTGGGATGAGGATTTGAGCCCGCTTTTTCCTCCAAGTGTTGCCATATCTTGTAATCTAACGGATTCAAATCTGGACTGGAGGAGGGCCAGTCTTCGTGCCGGATGAAGTCGATTTCACGCGCCGCCAGCCAGTCTTGTGTGCTCTTCGCTCTATGAGCTGGCGCCGAATCTTGTTGGAATACCCACTGCCTGTTATTGAGCATGGTATGAGAAACAGGTTCCACAAGGTTCGTCAGGACTGTATTTTGATACACAACTGCATTCGTTTTTACACCTTTCTCACAAAAAAGCCCCAATAAGAAACTCCCAACCATACCATGAGCGAGGATGGAAAATGACCTCGTTGGACACGTGGAATACGGTTGCTCGCTTCTTCACTACTGTGTGCGTACACCTTATCATTTTGTTTGTTGTAGCTCTCCTCTACGGTAAAAATTTTTTCATCCGAAAAAAGAATTTCCCGATATTTTTTCCCGCGTACCGCTTCAACAAAGCGCGGCATCTCTTCAGTCTCAGGTCCATTAGACGAGCATTCAAACGATGTCCTGTTTTTCTTCGATATGCCCGAAGCCCTAAGTCTTCATTTAACACCCTTTTCACCGTGGTTCTGCTTAACCCCATCTGAAGGGCCAACAGTTTCGGCTTACGTTTGGGATTTCTTTGAATTCGCGCCTTCGCTTTTATTACTGCTGGAGCCCTAACAGACCGAGGGCGAACACTTCTTGATCTGTCATCTAAACTAGAGTCTTCATTGTATCGTTTGATGGTACGATAAACAAATCTTTTGGTTATACACAAATTTTTCAGTATGTCAAAAATTTGAATTGGCGCGTAACCGCAACGATGCAACGCAATAACTGCAACACGGTATTCTTTAAGCGTCCACTCCATATTTAAAAATGAGTGAAATTCTAAAAAGTATACAGTTTTATTTTCATGAACAATTCGAAATTCGAATTCAATAAATTTTTTTGTGGCCAGCATTCTAAAAGAAAAGTTTTTACTCTAGACAATACTTATGACCTGACTAGGTATATAAAAATTTAAATGCAAAAGATTAATGCTTGGATTCAATTTTATAAAAAACTATAGCTATCAAACTATCTAACAATATAGATAAGTATTTACAGTACTAGATACGAGTAGAATAGATAGAAAATAAGAAGTGTAATGTCACATTACATTTCTTCCTTAGATTTATTTGACAATTTTGCAATAGAATCTTTAGCTGGGCTACTTGCCAGATAAAATACATCTTCGTTTATCTTTTATACAAGAAAATTGGTTAAAGATATCAGAAAAATGTACGTTTAAAGTAAAATCGTTATTTTTTTAAGTAAATTTCCGTAAACAACAAACAACTTTATTTGCATATTATACTTTATAATAAAATCTGAAATAGCGGTATTTACTTCAATTATTATTTTATACATTTACAATTACTCTGCATAATACATTAAAAAAGACTGAGTTCAACTGGGATAGAAAATACCAGAAGAAACGAGAAAATATTATAAAATGCTTAATGAAATAAAGGAAAATCTTAAATATTATATTTAATTTACATCAACATTTATTTAGCAAAAAATATCTTTTACGCCGATCTACATAAGGTACATTTCTATTTTAAATAAAAAAATAGTATGAAGTGATCTTCACGGGTGCGATGTGACGCTTTAGTCTAATTTTATATAGAAAAAGCTAATTAAGGCTTCGACACAGATTCACTATTTTCTTAATATATGAAGCACTTTTACTTTTAAGTAACTTTCCACAAAATGTTTTTCAACTTTAAAAATATTCTTAAATTTATTCCAAAATGTAATTTTTACTCGTTAAACATTTGTGTTATTCAGTACTTGGAAATAATTTTAAGTTCTGGGAAAGTTGATATTTGAAATTAATTTAAAGTAAAGCATATATATATTTATGATTTGTTTGCACAAAGACGCGTATAAAAAGGCTGACTTTGTATCACAGGGTATTCTCTGCCAGTCTACACCCAGGTTGATCAGAAAATATTAATAATGTGCAAAGTGTAAAAGTTTTAGAAAATATTAAGATAACAATAATGTACTAGAAATAGTAAATATAATACAATACATACACAACAAACACGCATACATAAATAACATTGAGGCATGTAAAAACACAAATAAATATTATATCATACATAAATATATGTATCTATTAAGTTTCCGCATATTAAGTACAAGGCAGATACAAGTACATGAGTAGAGAGATTAACGCTATTGCAGTTTAAGGTAGTCATTCCAAAGCAGGCGTATAAGTGATGCCTTACTGGTAGCAGTACGAATGGTTATTGATAAATCAATATTAATTTTGAGTGTAAACGTTTCAAATATAAAAATTTTAATATACGCGAACACTACATATTGAGTAAAATTATTTAAAAAAAAAAAAACTGAAGGTAGCCGGGCTAACTGTGACATCAGGTCAAGTAAAGCACCCAAAACGTCGAGAATTAAAATAGTAAACTAAACGCGATAAAATTCGTAAAAAATAGTTTTATTCAACGTTTCAAATATAATAGGAATCATGTGCCCATCTGTATTCTAATACAGTACAGTACTTTCATGTTTTAAGAATAACATCTCACATTCAATACATCACTTGGAGCTAAGTTGATATTGAGGTTCTTTCTTACTCACAAAATGTTAAGCGTAGGTTGTTCTAAAACTAAATATTTTAATATCAGACAGCTATGCACTAATGATGACTTCATCGTCATTATTATTCTCTGACTAGTATACTTAGTAGTAGTCCACTGCTAAATATAGCAGCTCTATTCTGTCTTATTACTTGTATTCCCAAATAAATAAATTTGAATTTGGAATTTAAATATAGTCCCCCACCAAAGAAAGCGACAAAGCACGGTCCTGAGCCACCTGCATCGGGTAGCAAATACGGAAGAATTCACTTTTAGATTTCGGGGTGATAAGACCGTAGGTTGCAACAATATTTTGTTTATTACTGAATAAAATTGTATACTTATATTTTGATTTGGAAGCGTTAACAATTGAAAACTTTAAGCAATGTATTTAAAAACTAACGCCATCTTGTATTATTATTAGTTATTTAATACGAAATACGAACGTGGAAATCTTGTATAGAATAGAGGTAACTGACGAGCTTGGTTAAATTTTGCACATCCTATCCTATAACTAGGCGCGTGGAATATCCGGTAGTAATAATAGTAAGAAAAAAAAATTCATACTTACCGTCTATTAAAGTTCACAGCTGAACATAGGCCTTCCCCATAGATTGTCTCATGGGGGATATTTACCATAGTTACTACGCTTGGTAAGCGGGTTGGCAAGCGCAGATTTTTTTTAATTCAGTCGTAATTGAGACGATGCTGCTGCCCATCTCCTGATATGTTTCCTTCTGTTTTCTCTTACGACACAACTACGATAATCTTACACCATCACTACACGGTTTTAATACCTGGACGTCATTAATAACGGGATATGCGACTACCTACCAAACTATGGATTCTGCTTAAAATTTGTATAGTAACAGACATATATGTAAAGTTATTTAAATATGCAAAGTTTTATATTTTTTAATAGATTTATTGCAGGTATAGGTTGTCTGGAAGAAATTGCTGTATAGCAATAAAACAGTCTTTTGTTTTTCCATCTATGTTTGTTTCTTGTGATGTTATTTGTTTCCTTAGTGTTTATTAAAGGGTATTGTATTGCATTGTATTGCACTCAACGGTGGCCAAACATCTCACATTATGCAGGACAATGCCACAAAATCAGCTGTAATCAGCAGCCGTAAATAATATATTGCACAGTTTAACAGCCCGCACATCTAAATACTACAATATCTCCTTCCAAAAGCGCAACATAAAAGCAACAACGTTTTACTTTTATTTCTATTATAATAAATTTTACGATACATTGTACATATGGCAAAATCTTTATTACGATAATAAAGCTTCTATCAAACAAACAAAAATAAAACTGATAGAGAAAGATCGTGACACGTGAAATTGTGTTCCGATTGACTAACCTGACTGAACGAGGTTAGGAGATTTTAAGCAAACAATTATAAGGAATTACATGAAAGAGATCTGTTTTTTATGTAGAACTAGCTGTACTCGCGACTCCACCCGCGTGTAATTTAGGGTTTAAATTCTTTTTACGAGGCACCCTTATTCTTTTTCTAAAATAAAAGTAGCCTAAGTTACTCCTTATGACATCAGATATCTGTCAGTGAAAGTCCCATCAAAATCGGTCCAGTCGTTTCGGAGATTAGCCGGAATAAACAGACAGACAGACAAAAATTTTAAATTGTATTTTTGTTATAAGTATCGTATATATTTTCATATGCATTTAGTTAAAAGCTGTAATTTTGACATTACACACAGACACTTCAATTTTATTTATTTGTATAGATAACAGTGACAAACAAGCACACAGTCCACCTGATGGTGGGTGAATACTGTGAACCACAGTCACCTATCATTGATTATGAATTAAAATTCAATTGCTTTGTTGATCCTGTGAACTGTGATGGAATGCGTCGTTTACAGTAAAAAGGATCTCCGCTTCTTTACACTCAACATGCGAAACACAGCAGCATTAAGCTGCTACTTTACGCTGGTATTCTGTGAGAGCGTAGTCCTACCCCGGTCGAGCTGACCCATTCGTGCTGAAACCATAATACATCTGCAGCATGGTTTTACCACGAATTAATGATGATAGAATTACTTATATCACCATTGTGCCGCGTACGTGGTGTAAGAAAATCCATCAACGTTTCTTTCCGTGAGTGTCTTAAGAGTTGTCCGTGAGAAGTGTCAAAAAGATCTCATAAGCTCCGATAAATGTCTCGTTTTTGCCAGTTACAAAGTACCGAAATCAGTGGCGGGGGAGTCCAAGGTGCAAGCATCTGGATCAAATAATTCCTAGATAGTCTCTCACGTAATTATAAAGAAGATACCACCATATGTTCTTCTAATTAATAAATATCTACTTACTTAATTACCGGCGATCCTGCAAATTAACGACCTAACACAACGCTTTAATCTTACAATCAATCATAAGATATACCCATAAAGTTATGTAAAAAATAATCAAGTCTTGATTACAGTAAGAAAATCACTATCTTTAACATAAATACGTCTTACAAGATGACGCAACACCATATAATTCTGTCATGTTATATTGGG